AACGCACGACGATGTCGTCGGCATAATAGCGGTGCAGCGTGTGAATGCCGCGATCTTCCCAGATTTCCTTGGTGATGCCCAAAATGTAGTCGGGAAAATCGGTGAACCGGTCGTCAAAGCCCTTCATGTGTCCCAACCCTCGGGTATGCGCGCGGAGCCCCGCACGACCAATGGTGCGGGCAGCACGTGCTGCTCGGCACGGGCGCCGGGTTGCTCGATCATCTTCAATAGCGTCGCGACGGTGCGCTCGACCATCAGATTGGCGCGCTGGCGGACGGTCGTCAGGTCGTAGGCCGGCCATGAGGCGGGCGGCACATCGTCGAACCCGACGACCGACACGTCGCCGGGCACCGACAGACCCAATTCGTAGCGCAAGACGTCCATGACGGCGAACGCCATGTGGTCATTGGCCGCAAAGACGGCATCGGGGCGGTCAGGACGGTCGAACATGCGCCGTGCCGCCGCCCGTGCTTCGTCGATCTGGAAATTGCCGACCTCCCGGTCATAGCGGTCGATCCCCGCTTCGCCCAATCCGTCGGCAAATCCCTGTTCGCGGTCGCGCTGGGTCGAGGCCCCTTCCCAGCCGGCAATGTGGCCGAACCGCTTGTGCCCCCCGTCGAGCAGGAATCGTGCCACCGCCCGCCCGCCGGCACGGTTGTCGGAGGTGACCGCCGAAATGCCCGCATCGTCCTGCGCCCGGTTGAACAGCATGACCGGCACGCCGGCGGCCTGGCAGCGCGCCGTCAGTTCCGACGACAACGCCACCGACGCCATGATGATGCCATCGACCTGATAATCGAGGATCTCCTCGAGCACGGTGTCGATATTGCCCGCGGTCTGCGAGGCCATGAAGATCAGGACATGGTAGCCCTCGGCCTGCAGCGCGTTGGAGAGCTTTTCAAGCGCCTCGGGATAGAAGTAATTGTCCAGATAGGCGACGACGAGCCCGATCATCCGGCTGCGCCCGGTGATCAGCGAACGCGCCAGCACGTTGGGCCGATACCCCAGTTTCTCGGCAGCATCGCGCACCTTTTCGGCCGTATGGGCCGAAACGCTCGCGCCGGGCGTGAAGACCCGGCTCACGGCCGAACGGCTGACACCGGCGAGCCGGGCGACATCGATCGACGTGACCCTTTCGTGCGCCATCACGGTTCTCCGACCGGAAACGGAATCGGCGCCATCGAGCGCGCCTTGTTGAACTCGCGCAGCCGGGCGAACACGTCGACGCCCAGCTGCCGGTAGGCATCCAGAAGGTCCACCAGCACCCAGTTTTCGCGGATCAGCCCGTTCTCGATGCGCCAGAAATCAAGGCTGCGCATGGTGATGCGCTTGCCAGATGGTGCGATACCCATCCAGCCGTCATGGGTCACGGTCTGGATCATGTTCGGCCAGCCCGTGACAGCCACATAGTCGCCGTCGCCGAAGAAGTGATAGACGATCTCGTCGACATACCGGCCGCGATCGGGCATCGCATTGAGGAACGGGATCTGGTGCCAGTTACGGAAGCCCGCAATGCCGCGCCCGGTGCCGATCCCCGAGGGGCCGTACCAGTTCATCTTCGGATGCCAGAAACGCTCCATCTCCATGACGTCCGGCCCGCCCTGGGACGGATGGCGCTTGAGCGCCTCGAGCATATCGATCACATGCTGGCACGACACCGCACTGCGCGCCTCGTCGCGCGGCCCGCGGACCAGTCCGTCCATCGTCGCCGGCGCCGGAACCTGCCATTCGCGGCCGAGCGTCGGCGCCATCGGCCAGGCGCCGGCCTGGATCATCACCTCGGGGATGTCCCACAGCGCCTGCATCTCGGTGACGCGGCCATCCTCGAAGCGGAAGAACTCGTGAAAGCGCAGGGCGACCTGATGGGCGGTCGGCGGAATGTCGAGCCACGGCGCAACGAACGTGCCGGTGTAGTAGCCGCCGCACCCGACCCAGTCGGCACCCTCTTCAGTCCCGCCCGCCATGACAATGTAGTCGCGCCGCTCAAGATCGGGCAAGGCGGAGAAAAGCGGCGCATAGGCCGTCTCGTACAGCGCTCCTGGCCCTTCCATCTCGCCCAGCGGATGCGCCAGCCGCACCGGTGCGTCGGGCGCCAAAAGCGCGTTGAGCGCGGCCTTCACGCCCTCTTCGGTGAAATCGTACATCGCGGCCCGAAGCGGTGCGACGGCCGCCTTGTGGGCGGAATGACGGTCGACCGGCATCGTCATGCCGCAGCCTCGCTCCGCGGGCGCGGCGGCATCCGCTCGCCCCGGTCGAACGCTTCCCAGCCCTCGCCGCCGAACACGTCGACGCCCAGCTGCGCCAGAACATGGGGGAAATCGACCATCACCCAATTGTCGACGATCTTGCCGTCGACCACCTTCCAGAAATCCATGTAGCGGATTTCAACGCGCTTGCCGGTTGGCGCAACGCCCATGAAGGCGCCCGAATGGGTCGCCTCCTGACGACCGAAAGCGGCCGCCCACTCGCCCATATAGAGCCGTGCCTCGTCGACGCAGACCTTGTCGGAAAACGCCGCCTGGAACGGCCGCTGCCAATTGTCCTGAAACTCCCTGAGGCCCGTTTTCGTGCCGCAGCCGAAATTGCCCATCCAGCGAAAGCTCTCGGCAAAGAACTCGCCCATGTCAGCGATGCGGTGATCGTTGAGCCCGTCGACCATCGTCTCGATGACGCGGCGCGTATCCTCGGTCTTCGACATGTCCGTATCGCGGCTGAGCACCGCCTGCTCGGGTCGGGACCCCTTCATCCTTTGACGGCTCCCGCGGTCAGGCCGCTGACGATCTGGCGCTGGAAGATCATCACCAGCAGGAACAGCGGCGCAGTGATCGAGACGGCGGCGGCCACGGCCTCGACCTGGTCGGTCGTCGTCGTCTCGCGGTTGAAATAGCCGGCAATCGCCGGGACCATGGTCTGGTTCTGGGCGTCGAGCAGCAGCGAGGTCACCAGCAGATCGTTGTAGGCGAGGAGAAACGAGAACAGGCCCGTCGTGATCACGCCCGGCCACATGACCGGCATGATCACCCAGCGAAACGCCTGGAAATGGGTGCAGCCATCGACGCGCGCGGCCTCGTCCAGTTCGTTGGGGATGTTCTGGAAGAACGAGCGCAGCATCCAGATCGTGAAGGGCTGGTTGATCGCGACCAGCACGGCGATCACCGCCAGCGGCTGGCCGTAGAGCGTCGGCGCGTTGTCGCCCAGGATCGGCCGCAGGATCTCAGCCGAGTTGATGAAGACCGGCAGATAGCCGGCCACCAGAACCGAATGGGGCAGTGCGCGGAAGATAAGCGCGATGATCAGGATCCAGAATGCAAGGTTGGAGCCCGACCGCGCCAGCCCGTATCCGGCCAGCGTGCCGACCGTCAGCGAAATCGTCACCACGCCGGCGGTAACGATCAGCGAATTCTGGAAGTTGCGCCAGAAGCCGTTTTCGATCCAGACGGAATAATAGTGCTCGGCGGTCAGCCCCAAAACCGGTGCGCCCAGCGGACCAGCGACGGAGTTGAGCACCCCGAGCACCGCCGGCAGAATGCCGAAGAAGACGACGAGGAACCCGATCGCATAGGCGCCGGCACCGACAAGCCAGCCGATGACGGTCATGCCCTGCGGCGACAACCGGTCGACCCATTTGGGAAGCCGGGTGAAAGCCAAACGCACGGCGGCGATCAGGACCGCAAGGCCGATCGCGATGTCGAGGATCGAAAGACCGTCGCCGCCGGCGCGGGTCGTCGGCCCGAATATCACGTCGAGCGGATTGGCCGAGAACGCATCGACCGGCGATTTGAAACTCATCACCGCGATCCAGAAAATCGGAAAGGCGGCAATCAGGCACCAGAAGGCCAGGAAGGAGGCAGAGGCGAACCGCAGCGAGAACGGTTGCTGGAGCGCTTTGGGCGTTGCCATCAGTGCGCACTCCCCTTGTGGTCGCGCCAGGTGCGGCGCAGCAGCGGGATCAGCAGGATGACGATGCCGATCATGGTCAGCATGGCGCTCGCCGAGGCGCGGCTGATCGCCCGGTTGCCCGCATCGTCCGGCTCCAGAAGGTCATAGGTCAGCCATTGCAGCGTTATGCGGTGTGCCTGCGAGGAGAAGCCGACCACCTCCTCGAAGGCGCGGTAGGCATCCATCAGGTGGATCAGCGCCACGAAGATGATCAGCGGCATCAGATGCGGGACGACCACATAGCGCAGACGCTCGAACCGGCTCGCCCCGTCGATGATGGCGCTTTCGAGCGTATCCTGATTGACCGTCTGTAGTCCGGCATAGAAGATGACAAAGGCGAACGGCGCCACATGCCAGACGCGGTAGAACATCATCAGCAGCTCGATCGCCCAGCCATTGGCGGCAACGGAAATGTCGGTGGCCAGCATGTCCTCGAGCAGGGCCGTGACGATGCCGTCGCCATAGAAAAGCCAGCGGATCGACAGCGCGCCGATGACGGGCGTGATGATGAAGGGCAGAAGCGACACGAAGATGATCTGGCCGCGGATCGAACGGGCCGCATTGTTGACGGCGAGCGCGATCGCCAGGCCGAGCCCGATCACCAGCGGCAGGGTGACGAGCGTGAAGGTCAGCGTGAAGCGCAGCGCTTTCCAGAAGTCGATGGCCAGAATGGAGCTCCAGGTACCGCTGGCGATCGCCGCGCCCACCTGGTCGAGCTGCAGAACCCGCGCATAGCTCAGGAGCCCGACCCATTCGGTCGTCGTCTGCGGATTGCCGAACTCATCCAGGACCGGCGTCGTCTTTGTCTCCGTGACGCAGGTCTGGCCGACAAAGCCGGGTGTGCAGGTCTCGACTTCGACGGTCTCGACGACCGGCTGGGTGATCTGGAAGCTCTGCAGAAAGACGCTGGCAAGCGGGAAGGCGATGAACAGCACCATCATGAAGACCGACGGCCCCACGAACCACGCCAGTGTCCTGAATTTCATGATCGCCTCCCGTGCCGGAAAGTCCGGGGCTGCTCCGCAGGCGGACAGGCCGCCCGCAGAGCGCCGCCCCGGTCCTTATTCGATCAGGCCGGCTTCCTTGGCCGCCGTGATGTAGGCTTCCTCGATGGCTTCGAGCGTCGCCGCGGCATCGCGTTCGCCGGTGAAGAAGGCCGGAAGCTCATTGCCGAGCGCGGTGTGCATGAGGCCCATCTGGCTGGTCGACGGGTAGGATTGCGGCGCCGGATCGGCACTGGCCGTGGCGATGGCGCCCTGGGCCAGACGGTTCGGCTCATAGCCCGAAATCAGCCAGATCGCATCGTCGTTGTTGGCCGTCACCATCTCCGTGTCGAGGCCCTCCATGGCCACGCGGAACGCAGCCTCGGCCTCCTCGTCGGAAATGTTCTTGGCGATGACGATGCCGTCCCACCAAAGCGTCGTGGCCGGCGCGCCGCCTTCCATGGCGAGCGGTGCGGCGGCGGCGTTGACCTTGCCGACGACCTGGCTCTCGGCCTCGTCGTCCATGGCCGCGCCGCGGCTGGCCCACAGGTTCGCCATGGCGATCTTGCCCTGCTGGAACTGCTGCTGCACGTAGGTGGAGTCCGACACCAGATATTCGGGATCCATGTACTCGGTCATGCGCATCATCATGTCGAGCGCCTTCATGCCGGCTTCGGTGTTAACCGTCGGCATCGAGTCGGCACCGGTGAACTGGCCGCCAAAGCCCAGGAACATGTTGTTGAAGTCCTGGGCCAGGTTCCAGCCCGACTTCATCGTCGCACCGAGCGGATAGTCGACGACGCCGGCTTCCTTGATGGCGGCAGCCGCTTCGAGCACACCATCCCATGTTGACGGCACTTCAAGGCCCAGATCGTCGAAAATGTCCTCGCGGTACATCAGGTGCTGCGTGTTTACCATCATCGCGACCGCCATGGTCTCGCCATTGATCTTGATGAGCTGGTTGGGGGCAAGGTTCTGGCCGTGCGCGGCGATCAGGTCGTCGAGCGGCCGGATCGTGCCCTCGTTGAGCAGCGGCGTGACCGTGCCGTTCGAAACGCCGCCAATGTGGTAAAGCGACGGGTTGGCTGCGAACGCGGCGGGCTGCTTGGTGCGGAACTCCTGATCGAGTTCGGCTTCGACATTGCCGCATTCGGCCATCGCATCCGTCACCGCCTTCCACGCTTCAAAGCCGGCCGACAGCGACTTGACCGTGACATCGTTCTCGAATGCGCAATCGGCCTGCGCGCCGGCCGTGGCCAACAGCGACACCGCACCGGCCATCAACAAGGTCTTCAATTTCATGGTTTTCTCCCTTTGGCTGGCGGGCGCATCCGATCGCGCTCGCCGTAGTAGTTTGCGGATCATTCCGCGGCGATGCGCGCGCCCGTCTGCGCATCGAACAGGTGGCAGATCTCCGGCGATACCGACAGGCTCACCGTGTCGCCGATCTCGGCGCGGAACTCCTTGTGCGCCTTGACCGAAACCATCGCGCCGCCGGCGCGCACGGCGATCATCGTGGCATCGCCCAGAAGCTCCATCGTGTAGACAGGCGCGCTGATCTCGCCCTGGTCATCGCCGACATGGGCGTCTTCGGCGCGGAAGCCGAGCGTGACAGGCCCGTTCGGGCCATTCAGGCCGGAAATCGAGACACGGTCGCCGGTGAACGTTCCGTCTTGAAGCGTGCCTTCCATCAGGTTCATGGCGGGCGAACCGATGAAGCCGGCAACGAAGGTGTTGGCCGGCCGGTCGTAGATCTCGGTCGGCGTGCCCACCTGCTGGACGACGCCCTGCTTCATCACCACGACCCGGTCGGCCAGCGTCATCGCCTCGATCTGGTCATGCGTGACGTAGATCGTCGTCACCTTGAGTTCATGGCTGAGGTTCTTGATCTGCGCCCGGGTCGATACGCGCAGCTTGGCGTCGAGGTTCGACAGAGGCTCGTCCATCAGGAAGACGTTCGGCTCGCGCACGATGGCGCGCGCGAGCGCCACGCGCTGGCGCTGGCCGCCGGACAGTTCGGCCGGCTTGCGATGCATGAACGGTTCGAGTTCGACCATCGCCGCCGCACGCTTGACGCGCTCGTCATGGCTGTCGGCATCCACCTTCCGCACTTTCAGCGGAAAGCGGATGTTCTCGTAGACATTCATGTTCGGATAGAGCCCGTAGCTCTGGAACACCATGGCGATATCGCGATCCTTGGGATCGAGATCGTTGACCACCTGCCCGTCGATCGAGATCGTGCCCTCGGTGACATCCTCGAGCCCCGCGATCATCCGCATGGTGGTGGTCTTGCCGCACCCCGACGGGCCAAGCAGAACGAGAAACTCCTCGTCCGCGATCGTCAGGTTGAAATCGTCAACGCCGACGAAACTGCCCCAGCGCTTGGACACATTGCGAAGCTGGATCTCAGCCATTCGTACCTCCCTGTACGTGGTGGCCGCGCGCTTGCACACGATTGCAAAAAGCGTAGACTCAGCTTCCCGAATTTGGCAAGCGTTTTTTGCACACGAGTGCAAACATGCCTCCGGCAACAGGAAGACGATCAGCGATGAGCGATTGGCGCGCCGATACACACACTTTTCTGAACGCATTGATCCGCATACCGGATTCCGATCTGGACGCCTTTGCAAGGACCATGATCGGCGCCGATTGCGTCTGGGACGTCGCCGCGCCGGTCGGCCGCCTCAAGGGCGTCGATGCGGTGCTGGATGGCCTGATCCGGCCGCTGCGCCGCGCATTGTGGCGCGTGCACCGGCGCGACGAGATCTTCTTCGGCGCCCGCAACCGCCGCCACGAGCGCGGCAACTGGATCTGCTCGGTGACACACTATGTCGGCATCCACGACCGCGACCTGTTCGGGGTCCGACCGGCGGGGCGCCTGGCTTTTGTGCGCTCGGGCGAATTCTACCGCATCGAGGACGGCATGATCGTCGAGGCGAAGATCATCATCGACTTGCTGGACCTGATGCGGCAGGCGGGACGTTATCCCCTGCCCCGCATGCTGGGCACGGAGATGCTGTTTCCGGGCCCTGCCACCCATGACGGCATTTTGCCCAACGACCCCGCGCGCGGCGACGCCTCGCTCGACATCGTCGAAGCGATGATCGGCGATCTGCACGACTTCGATCCCGACACGTTCCATTCCGAAGCCCAGACCGGCACGCACGGCCACTGGCACGAGGACATGATGTGGTACGGGCCCGGCGGCATCGGCTCCACCTTCGGCTGGGACGGCTTCGTCAATCACCACCGCGCATCGTTCCTGCGTGCCTTTCCCGACCGCAAGGGCGGCAACCACTTCTGCCGGATCGGCGATGGCGACTACGCCGCCTTTTCGGGCTGGCCGTCGATGACGATGACCCACAGGGGCGATTATCTGGGTGTGCCGGCGACGGGCCGGTCGATGACGCTCAACGTCATGGATTTCTACCGGATTGCCGACGCCAAGATCATCGAGAACTGGGTGTTGCTCGACTATGTCCACCTGTTCGCGCAGATGGATGTCGATGTGATCGCCCGGTCAGCGGCCATGGACAGCCATTTCAGCTAGCGCGACGGGCGCCGCTGCGGCCCGCCCTCGATCTCGGCGGACTGGGCCCACAGATTGATGTCTTCCTCATGAGCGAGCTTGTCGATCTCCGCCAGCTCCGCGTCGGTGAGGTCCAGATTGTCGACGGCGCGGGCGCAATCGATCACCTGTTCGGGCTTCGACGCACCGATCAGCGCGGTGGTCACCCGGCCGTGCCGCAGCACCCAGGCGATCGCCATCTGCGCCAGCGTCTGGCCGCGCTTTTCGGCAATCGCGTTCAGCCCGCGAATGCTGTCGAGCGCCCGGTCGGTGATCATGGACGGAAACAGCGACTTGTCCTGCGCCGCACGGCTGTCCTCGGGTACGCCGTTCAGATATTTGCCGGTGAGCATGCCCTGCGCCAGCGGCGTGAACGCGATCGAGCCGACCCCCAGATCGTCCAGCGTGTCGAGCAGGCCGTCCCGCTCGACCCAGCGGTTGAGCATGTTGTAGCTCGGCTGGTGAATGAGGCACGGCGTGCCAAGCTCCTTGAGGATCGCCACCGCTTCGCGCGTGCGTTGGGAATTGTACGATGAAATCCCCGCATAGAGCGCGCGCCCCGACCGGACGATGTGATCGAGCGCGCCCATCGTTTCCTCGAGCGGCGTGTCCGGATCGAACCGGTGGGAATAGAAGATGTCGACATAGTCGAGCCCCATCCGCTTGAGGCTCTGGTCGCACGAGGCGATCAGATATTTGCGGCTGCCCCACTGGCCGTAGGGGCCGGGCCACATGTCATAGCCAGCCTTGGACGAGATGATCAGTTCGTCGCGATAGCCGGCGAAATCGGTACGCAGGATCGCGCCGAACGCCTCCTCGGCGCTGCCGGGCGGCGGGCCGTAATTGTTGGCCAGATCGAAATGGGTGATGCCGCAGTCGAACGCGGTCCGGCAGATCGCCCGCTTGGTCTGATGCGGCGTGTCCTCGCCGAAATTGTGCCACAGCCCAAGCGAGATCGCAGGCAGGTCGAGGCCGGACCGGCCGCACCGGCGATAGGCCATCGTCTCGTATCGGTCTTCGGCGGGAACATAGCTCATCGGGTCATCCTCGCTTGTCGGCATCGCGGGCCGCCACCGCTACACGCCGTGCAAAGCAGCCGCAAGCGGTGCGAGACGGCAACGGTTCACGGGATCAGCGCAGCGCCGCTTCGATGTTGCCGCCATCCACCGTCATCACATGGGCCGTGGTCCGGTCGGCGCGGGCGAGCGCAACGAACGCCTCGGCCACATGGGTCGCCTCGACCTCGGCACGCAGAAGGTTGCCGGCCATATAGTCGGCCGTACTCACACCGCGCGCCTCGGCCCGCTTCTCGATGAAATCGTCGGTCAGCAGCCCGGAGCGTATCCGGTCCGCATTGACGCCATTGACCCTGATGCCCTCGCCGCCCAGCTCCAGCGCCAGTTGCCGCACGAGGAAGAAGGTCGCCGCTTTCGGCAGGCCATAGGCGCCAAACCCCCTGCCCGGATTGACCGCCTGCTTGGAGACGTTGAACAGAAGCTGCCCGCCCCGCCCCTGCGCGCGCATCGTGGCCGCGGCGGCCTTCGCCAGCGCCAGATGGGAAAAGAAATTGAGTTCGAAGCTCTTGCGCAGCGTTTCGTCGTCGAGGTCCATCAGCATCCCCTGCATGGCCGCGCCGGCGTTGGAGACGACGATGTCGATGCCGCCGAACCGTGCGCACACCGCATCGATGACTGCTGTGCCAGCACCCGCCGCCGTGATGTCGGCCTGGACCGTCAGCGCCTTGCCGCCAAGCGCTTCGCCGGCATTGTCCAGCGCATCGGTGGACAGATCGGCGACGGCGACACTGGCGCCGAGCGCGGCGAACGCCTTGGCCGTGGCGAGCCCGATCGCGCCTCCGCCGCCTGTCACAAGCACGATCTTGCCGGCAAAGGCCTTTGGCGTGGATTTGGCGAGCTTGGCCTGTTCGAGCGACCAGTATTCCATGTCGAACGTGTCGGCTTCGCCGATCGGCCGGAACCCGCCGGCGGCTTCGCCCAGCGTCACGACTTCAACGGTCTGTTCGCCGATATCGGCTGCTGCGGCGGCGGACGCGCTGTCCTTGCCGATTCCCACCAGTCCCACGCCTTCAATCCATGCCAATCCCGGGATCGGCTCCAGCATGGTCTTGATGCCGCCGACCCGTTCATTGTGGCTCGCGAAATAGGCCTTGTAGGCATCCGCCCATGCATCGACTGCGGCGCGAATGGCATCGGCGCCGGCATCGATCTGCGCGCCGGTCAGATGCAGCGGGAACGCCTTCGTGCGGATGACATGGTCGGGCGAGCCAACCCCGCGCCGCGACAGGCTGTCGAGATCGCCGCGCGCCAGGAACCGGTCGATGGCCGGCCCGCCGCGTACATCGAAGACGGGCATCGGCATGTCGGCATCGTGATGGGCGGATCGGATGGCACCGAGCACCCCGCGCAGCGCGGGCAGTACGCCGGATGCTCGGCCTGGGTCGAGCGGGGCGCGTACCGTATGCACGGTCGTATCAAATGTGCGGCCGCCGGCCCGGTCGGCAAGCCATTGCTCGACCCGGTTGGTGTGGTCGATCACCCGGTCATAACTCTGCTTCGCCGTGTCGCCGAAGGTGAAGTGACCGTGGTTGAGCAGCACCAGACCCTCGACCTCCGGGTCGGCTTCAAAGACCTCGGCGGCCTTCTTGGCAAGCGCGAAGCCCGGCATGATGTAGGGGACGACGGCCAGCCTGCCG